TTAATTTAGATAGTTTTTAATTATATTAAAGATAAAGATGTTTTCGAAAAATTTTATTATAAAATGTTAGCCAAAAGTTTAGTAGATAGATTAAGTGCATCGAATGATTATGAAGAATTAATGAAATTAAATTTATTTATTATTGTAACAAAATTCTACATATTAAATATCTATTTCAGAACGCGTGCGGTTTTACATATACGTACATCAAAATTACAAAAAATGTTTCAAGATGTTAAGCTTAGTGAAACATTATTAGATCAATATCGAACGTATTGTAAAAAAGAGAAGATTGATAATATTGGTATCAATATTTTAAACTGAATCTCTTTATAAATTTGTATATCATATGTGTGTGTGTATTTTTTTCATTTAAGTTGATTTTTCTGTAATGGTTCTCAGTTCAAATTTATGGCCATTTTATGCATTATCAAAGATTATAATACCAATTGAAGTTATATTTTTTTTTTTCACTATTATCTGTTATCGTATATTTTTAGCTTAAAAAACCATTTGACAGTTTCACGAAGTTTTATATAGAACAACATAATGCACGTAAATTGATATGGCTTCATCAACACTCCAAAGGAGATTTACAAATATTGTACACTAACAAAAAATATATTCTAAATGTAAATATTGATTTATTTGAAAAAAAAGAAAATTATTTTATTATTATTTTGAAATCTAAAAGGTGTCAATATATCAAATGGCTGCTTTACTTCTATTTAATAAACTTTTAAGTTGGATAGTTGATCAAATTCAAGATGAAACACAAATCAAAATTGATTTATTCTTTCAAGTTCTTTATAGTTTATTGAAAAGTAAATTGATTACATGTTATGAAATCAATAAAAATCAATTTGATGAATATTTTAATGAAAGTTGCATTAAAATGAATTATATTATTCATATAAATGAAAATTTTCGTAGGATAGAATTTTTTTTTGTTTTGTATTATTCATCTTTTTTTATGAATTTATAGAATCATTAAAAAAGAATATTTTATTTTTAATAAGAAATCGTGAATAATGTTCTGATTTTTGTGATACAATAGACAAATTATGATCTAACTCGAACATCATCAACGTTTAGAAAATAAATTAATTTTTAATGACCAAATAAATTCATTAGTAGATTGAATAATATGATTGATCATGAAATGAACATGAAAAATCATAATCAGTGAGTAATGAAACAAAAGAAGATAAGAATATCAGTAAAAATAAGAATCAAAAGAGAATGTTGTGAAAAAAAGTACATATAATGTATGAATGTGATAATTAATGAACAATAAAATCATAAATATGAACCATTAAATAAGCTTCTAGTTTAATCTCCTGATATTTCGATTTGAATTCGAGCAGAAGTACTAGAAATAATATAGAATTTAGTTAAGTTTGAACTACTGAGAAAATCATAATAGGTTTAATTAGTTTCATAGGTTACTATTATCAATAAAATAGCTAATTGAATCAAAACCACAGGTAATTCACATATTGTATTTTTATTTATATTTTTACTTAAGCCTTTTTTATGTTAATCTCTTATTATGTCAGTTTTTTTTTGTTAATATTTTCCATTTATCCTTATTCAGTTTCAGCACGGATTAATGAAGTCTTAGGTAAATACCTAAACTTGCTCATTATTATCGGCAATTGTTAATATTTGACTAATAGCGGGCGAAAAATACTTAGCAAAATTATCCTCAGCAGACATCCACCGTCTAACAGACGTATATTTACATACATGCTATTTATTACTAGTTACAAAGTTATGTAATTAGTGAATAGTATGTAGAATCTGATGAATACGGGCTATATTTGTTCATTCATAGTTATTCTCTATGATTCCCTACAACATCAGACGTTACAATAATAATAACAATAATCATCTGAGAGAAATTTAACTTGTATCTCATGAATGAATGTTAAATATTCGTAATTTTCTTTCGTTTAGTGAAAAGATACGAATAAATTTGAATGTATACCATGTGAATCAGTTGAACAAAAAGATATCGATAATTTACACCGAACAATTGATGTTGATCGATAAATAATTATTTAAGCTGCAATTGTTCGAATAATGAAAACTCGACAAACTTTAACATATGCATTACTAGTACAAGAAGTTATTCAACAATTAAGTTCACGTTTCGAACTTTAAATATCGATGATCAAAGTAAATTCCGTTATAATTATATATTAAAAATTTAATCGAAGAATATGTTTTATTTTAGAAATGTATTGATATATTAATTGAAAAAGAATATATTGAATGGCAACCAAATGAACATGATATGCTACGTTACTTGGCCTAAAATAAATCATCAAATGATTCGTATGATAAACATGTCGTAAAATTGAATTTTTACCAATAATTCTTTTTTCATGAAAACTCAAAAAAACATATGTTAATTACTAATAAAATCAAAGTTTTTTTTTTCTCTGAAAAGATTTAATTCACAGCATCTTTCCGTTTTTTCAGCTATAGTGGCAAGCAAAAGTTTAATTAGTTTTTTTTTAGTTTTTTTCTTGATTCTACTAGCAAAATAATTGTTTGGATGCAGATGTCAGAAAAAGCAAGACCATAAAATCTTTCCACCAACTTATGTTTAAATCCTTTAGGAAAAGGTTTTACTTAATAGAACAGATCATGTTTAGAAAAATGAGACGTTTTCAATCCCTGCATAATCTTTCTTCATTAAACCGTATTCAATTTACACAAGTTCTCAAAGCGTTTACTATAATGGCAACCGTGAAATTTTCAATAAAAACGAGAGAAATTCTCATTGAGGTTTCTGTAAATAGGATGTTGTTTGATAACACAATATTATGGAAAGTTCACAGACGTCTCATTTAAATGAGTGACTCTATCAAACAGAATTTTTTTCTAAAATCTTCGAATGAAAGACGAAAAACTGGTTTTAGATGTTTTTTTTTATTCCAGATATTCTCACTCACACCAGATCTTTTCAGATACTCTCTAGTTATTACTATCAAGGGTGTGGGTGTAGGTGTGGGTGTGGGTGTGGGGTGTGGGTGTGGGTGTGTGTGTGGGTGAAAAGAGAGTTTCATCGATACCCACACCCACAACCTGTATTAAATAAACAACAAACTTATGTTATGTGTAGTTTCGCCGTAGAAAGTTTATATACTAATGTACTGGTCGAAGAAGCAATAGAAACAACATTAAACTATATCTATAAGCCAACAAAATTAATAGATGTTCCTTTTAATAAAGAACAAATGAGGACAGTTTTAAATCTATCAATAAGAGGTGCACCTTTCAGATTTCAAAATAAAATTTATAAACAAATAGATGGTGTCGCTATGGGTAATCCATTAGCACATATAATTGCAGACTTATGGATGCAAAAAATGGAAGAAAAATTGAATAGATTCAGTAGTAACAAACCGATGATTTGGCTACGATACGTTGACGATGTCTTCTGTATATTCACTATTCCTAAAGAGAAAATTCTTGAATTTCAGACATGTATAAATAAATGGCATCATAACTTACATTTTACTCTTGTGTTCGAATCTAATAATTCGATCGCATTCCTTGACGTTCTAGTAACTCATGAACAAGATAAACTAACTACATCACTGTATCGTAAACCAACACATACAGGATTATATATGTTATGGGATAGTAATCAGAATCGTCGTTATAAATTAGGACTCATTAAAACACTAGTAATACGTATTTACCGAATTTGCTCAAGCAAAGAAATAATAACTAAAGAATTAAATCTACTAAGAGTAACACTAACAAATAATGGATATCCTCCACATTTAATAAGAAGAGGTATTGCCGAAGGAGAGATACTCATTAAAACAATGTCTCATACTAAGAAAGATGAAAATAATAACAAAAAAGTCATTTTCTTCACTATAAAATATTTTGGACAAGAATCTATTGTATTTGCTTCTCGTGTAAAGAAATTCTGTCGTAAATTACTCCCTAACTTAACAATTCAGTTTGCTTTTAAAAAACACATAAGCTTAAAAAGTATCTTTTTACCAAAACTTAAAGGAATTGATGAAGACAGAAAGAAAAAGAACTTAGTATATTCAATTCCATGTATGGATTGTAACAAAGTATATATTGGAGAAACAAGTCGAATGAAAAAAACACGCATGAAAGAACATAAAGCTAAAATAAAAGCACTATCATCGGACTCTAAACTCGTAGAACATATTCTAAAATATAAACATAATTTTGACTTCTCTAACACTAAAACACTAGCATTTGAAAGTGACTGGAGGAAACGTGTAATTAAAGAGTGCATCTTTACTAATAGAACACTAGGCAAGTTTATCAATGAAACGAAACATGCGATCCAAGTAGTCAGTTAAACAACAATTATCATAACAATAATCATAATAATAGTCTTTGCTCCACATATATTTACTAATCACACTCACTCATTCTCACGTCTACAAAACTAATGATCACAGTCTTTCCTACAAGAAACCTCCCAACTTATATAATCTTTTATAAGAAACTTATCATTAACCTGTAAAATAATAGGAACATTCATTTCCATCTACATTACCTATTCTCACATCTCTAAAACTCTTAACCTACTACCTTCCGTGTTGTGGGAGATGTTCTGCCTCAAACCAAGGTCGACACTCCTCGCACTACTTTTATCTTTCCTCTTTATCTTCTGAAGTCAAAACACCCTACACTTAATCTGGTCAATGTTGTGAGATATGTTCCGCCTTAAGACCAAGATCGACTCCCTTCGCATTAATCAGAAAAGTCGCCATAAGTTCTCGTCCTTATACGTATACATTTATAATTACATTTGTCTATGTATCTAATATCTGTCTTCTTCTTTTTCATTTTCTCTTATTTTAATCTACTAACAACGACGATATAGAACTTACATAATCATTATTATTATATTTATCTATTTACTTGATATTCTTCTTCCTCTCTATCACTTTCTCTGAATTTAATCTAATAACAACGCAATTTGCTTCAACAGCATTATTCAACAGCGGCATCTCCTTAACCGCCTCTCGACGTCTCTCACACTATCATTCCCGACGATGTGTTTCAGACAAGGACACGAAAGCTCGAACCTCCCCTCTCTTTTTATTTCTGTTTGAAATAAATATTGAATAAAATGTTATTTACAGCAATTATCTCATTTTTCTTTTCTTATTGATTTGTATCTTTGTTTTAATATCGTTAATTATTTCCAATCGATTAAAGAAATGAGAATCTGAACTGAATATGTGAAGGATTATTCTCTATTAATTCTGGTTTAACATTTATTTGAAAAGAAAGAATGTGTCATATTTCTTTTATTCAAGAAAGAATTTTGCTATGACAGATGAAAAATTAGTGCTAGCTCTGATGTTATTTAAAAGTTGGTGGTTCGAAAGTAATTGTAATTTTTGTACTGATGGATTTGAAATAAAAATAAATATCCATTCGTTGTTCATCTTGATTGACAAATAGCCTTATTATGGGAGGATATTCAACTTGAACAATTGTTTCAATAGATAAATATCGTCCAATATATTTCGGTAATTGCTTCCCTATATAAACATACCAATTATTTGAACGATGACGAGGTTTCGTTGACTTTTGAAAGAGATTAGCACTAATATTAAATGTTTTGTATAAATCAGAATCACACATATTTGGAAAACGAAATGAATAAGTAGTCCATCTGTTAATTAATTTCATATCTGCTGTATAATGCCATAGTACAGAATGTACGGTCATTTGACCGTGGAAACAAGCATTTAGTTGTAGATGATTATTAATTATCCTCCGAAATGGTCTATGTTTGACATAGAATAACAGTTCATCGATCAATAAACGACAGAATTTCCCATAATTCTTGTCCTGATAATTTATTACAGTATCTCTGGCCTCTTCAATAGATTTTTGTTGGTAGTATCGTTGTTTGCTCATAATTGAATTGGACTTTGTGCGGATTACAGCGGCCAAAGAAAAACTCATTTTTTAGAGACTTACATACTAATTCACACGCGAGGGTGGCACTGTTGGAAAAATCCATCAGCTCATAGGAATGAAAATAAAAATGTTATTGCGTTACGCATAAGTATTTCTATTTATTTTATGAATAAGAAAAAGAAAAAATTCGTAAAGAATCGACATTTTTGTTG